CTTGGATCAAATCTTAAAACATGTGCAAGTCAGTTTACTATAAATGCAGATTACAGCATAAAAGATGCTAGATTGCAGCTGCTCATTCTAAATGACCATGGAAAAATTGAACACACAAACAACAACAGAATGCATCCATTTTTTTCCTGTCTAATCACCTGTCTTCTAAAACTGCTGCATACTGAGCTAGAAAATCAGGCCAGATTTCCTTTCGAATCACTTCCCTTTCAGTGCAGTGGCTGATGTCTCACAGATGTCAGAACACAGAACTTTGAATCAATCTGCTTATATCACTGATTTTCGGGGAAGAAGAGAGGCCCCTCCCTTTGTGCTCATGACTAAGGCTATCTTTGTGGAAACAGCCTTCTGGTTACTTAGAAATTCTTGACTTGTGGCTGTTTGTCCCCAAGTCTACTTGAAAGCATAATTTCTTCCTACTCTGATAGCATTCATCTTCAGAGTCATGGAAAGTCACACATAAAAAGAAGTTATTATTTTAAATACCTTTTAAGAATCCTCATCAAGTAAAGAAAAGGCTAGAGTAACAGCTAAGTTACCCACAATAGTTTAGTTATATACTTAAACAGTTTTTCTGACTATTTTTTTTCCTTATGGCTTTTAAAAAAAGCAAAAACAAAATCAAGTTTTCTTCAGATTACTGAATTAATACATGCTCACTATACCAAGACCAAAAAGTCAAGCCGGCAATATAGCTCAGTGTGTGAAGGTACTTGCCACTAAGACTGATGGCCTGAGTTTGATCCCTGGCATTGACAGGGTAGAAGGAGAAGATAGACTCTCATAAGGTGTCCTCTTAACCTCCACACATGCACCACCCCACATATACACGATAAACAAATAAACCTGATTTTAATTTTTTATGTATGTAAAGTCCCACTGTCCTCTCCCTTCTGAGGTAACTCATTTTGAAAGCACCGTGTGTTTAATTCTATATTTAATTATGTTTATGAAGTCATATAAACATATATGATGTTACTAGTATGAGGTAGTCTCATAATCTTCTATTGTTTGCTTTCTAATTGTACATTATCAAAGACAAGTCATCATAAACCATCATGCATAATTTTACCTCACTGTTTTTAAGAGGCACACAGTATTTCATAGTATGAATGTAAAATATTTATATAAGCATTCCCTTGTGATGGACAATGTTTTTGCCATTTTTTTGTTTGTTTTTACAGTTAACACTCTGACACATATGTCTCTACACACACATTTTTAATTTTAAAGGCTAGATAGATACCCACAGGCAGGAGTGACATCCAAGAAAAAGTACAACTTCTTAAGTCTTATTTTGCATTTCCCAACTACTTTCCCAAAGAAACCAATGGTGGTGTGTCGCCAACAACTTCAGTTTTGATGGATGCTGTCAAATATTTTCAATGTTGTTAAGCTAGTGTGCAAGAAAAAAAATTGTATTTTGTTGTTAAGTTTGCATTTATGTGGGACCAGTTTACATATCCAGTTGTTATTTTGTCTTGGTTTTTATTAAAAGTTACATTCATCACTAGTCAAGAGACAATAAGTTGTTTTTCTACATTGTTTTTAAAACTCTGAAGGGTACATACCTCCTAAATAATTTGCTTTTCCCATGAAAACACATTGTTAACCCACCTACTAGGAGACTTGATATTGTATTTCTGTTACATAAAGTGTCAATGTTACTGGAAATAAACTATAATATTTTAACTCAACTAGTAATTTTTTTTTTTTTTGGTCTTTTTGAGACAGGGTCTCCTTGTGGCCCAGCTGGCCTGGAACTCACTGTGTAGACCAGGGTGGCCTTGAACTCACAGAGATCCTCCTGCTTCTGCCTCCCGAGTGCTGGGATTAAAGGTATGCACCACCAAGCCTGGCTCAACTATTAATTTTAAAAATATCTTACCTATTCATATTTTTATACATATGTATATTTTGCCTGCATGTCTGTAAGTGCACCATTTTGTGTGCAATGACCCTGAAGGCCAGAAGAGGGCACTGATCCCATGGAACTGAAGTTATGAACAGTTGCTAGCTGCCATGTGGAATATGGAAACTGAACCTAAGTCTGCTGCAAAAGCAATAAGTGCACTTAACCACTGAGCTACCTCTCTAGCCCTTGAGCTATTAATTTTAATAATTACAGAGGTCTGTCAATAATTCATCTGAGCTATTACAATCAAATGAGCAAAACATTTACAATGAAAAGATGTAAATCTGTGCAGATTACCA